GTCTTGCAGAAAACACTCGCGGAGATACAAATCTCGGGACAGGTCCAACTTTGTCTTACTTTCCTCTCACGCCTTAATCCATTCGGGGGCTACTGACGAGGATACGGACCCGGGATAGGGTCATAGGCACGACCTATATGTCCTACCCAAGGTCACTACCTTGAAAGACGAAAAGACCAAGAGTCAACAGAAGAGCGCCAGCCAAGTACGTCGAGTGCAATCCACTCGACGGTCACATCACTTAACGGTTACTACCTACCGTCACTCGACCATAAGGAAGGTCACTCGACCACATCGAAGACCGGGAGTCGGAGGAGCACACAACGGCCAGATATTTACTTCTTAGCCTTCATGAGCATTAAGAGTACTTAATGCTGACGTTACCAGTAACGCCCCTTACTTTATGTACATTAATTCCCTTGTAATGGAGACGGGCTGAGGTCCTGGCGCACTTTATATAAGCCACCCCCTCCTCTGACACAAGGGTTCGCATCCTCTGTAAACATCACACACATAATCCAATCGACGCCTCCGGGCACCGAGATGTAGGGCTATTACTTTCTCCGAGAAGGGCCTGAACTCGTAAACCTCGTGTGTACATCTTTGCCATAGTTAAGATGTTGCCTCTCCATACCTATCCCTTTTCTACTGTCAAACTTAGAACCACGACAGTTGTGTCTCGCGTGGATCGCTGGTTGTGTGCTGCTGTAGGCTGGCAGCTCCTTGTATATAAGAACCGGCTGACAGCTAGTCCGAGTCGGCCGGTAGTAAGGCAGTTAGACTTGTGTGCGGTGTTACTTGTGATGGAATTAAGCACGGATTAATTGTGTAAGATCGAATTATGTACGAGCCCTAGTCCTATTTAGCTATCCATCGCGTGTGTGTGCAACACCAGGTTGTTTTCTCTGCGTACATATATGACAAACATGCGATGAAAACAAGCCATGAACTCTTGAGTACAGTGCACTATTAAAAAATAAAACTTGGCATTTGGTTCCACCAAGTAAAGGTAAAAATGTTATTTTTAGAGAAAAGGCCATAGCCCGACTTTATAAATAAAGCCACACGACAGCGTCACAAACCCGAACAAGAACGAAACCAACAGGCGAAACATCGCAGTACACCGAACAGAAGTTTCGGACCAGCACACGAAAGAAATGGATACATGCAACCTGCCATACACGGCGCGCAGGCCGGGAGGGAGAAGATTAGAACCAAATTACGATAACAGCGACACCCTGATTAGACGACGGGGTCCAGCCCGGAGATGTGGGATGCCGAAGCCCGGATTTTGGCGATGAGCAAGTCCAGGGCATCCCGATCTTCATCCTTAGTCAATGATCTCCACTGCTGCAATAGTATACATGATTTGAAAAGAACGTCAGCCGGCTTAGATGGGAAGATATGTTCAATAGTAAATTTGTTTCTAATAGTCCAAAGAGCCCAGCATAAGGCACCCAGGCCGACCCAGAACACCCTCTTGGTAACCCCAACCAAAACTTTGGCTAGGTTTCTAAGCTTAGAGAATGAGGAAGGGTTCCAAGAAACCTGAAGCCAAGATCTAACACAACTCCAAACCAACTTAGCCAGCACGCAATGAAAAAAAATGTGTTTCGAGTTTTCCAAGGCACCACATAAATGACAAAACTCTAAGCCTGGCCCATTGCGCTTTTTAATCTGGTCGGCCGCCGGGAGGCGGCCACGAAAAGCTTGCCAAAGGAAGATTTTAATCTTAGGAGGGACTTTGGAATTCCAGACACAAGAAAATCTGCGCGAAGGGGTACCACCGATAAGCCTAGAGTACAACGACTTAACCGAAAACCTGCCAGAAGCCGAATGAGGCCAAACCACAGTGTCAGAAGACTCCGAGATCACAGGGAAGAGGGCAGAGAGACTTTGCCAGTCTTCCAACTCTTCAGGAGACAGGGAACGACGAAAGGCCAGATCCCAGTTATTTGCCGCCACCTCCGCGATGGAGATATCAGGTTTAGGGCAATAAGAGAACAAAACCGGAAAACTAACAGCTAGGGGGGCATCCCCAGACCACCAGTCCAACCAGAAACGGACCGCAGTCCCGTTACCCACGATAAATTTAACATGTTCCAGGAAGGTAAAAATGTTATTGATTGTAAGTGGGTGTATAAAGTAAAGAGGAAGTCTAATGGCAGTACTGACAGGTATAAGACACATTTAGTTGCAAAGGGATTTAAGCAACGTCATGGATTTTGCCCTTAAGGATTTAGGGGATCTGCATTACTTTCTGGGTATTGAGGTAACATCTGTCAAGAATGGTATTTTGTTGTCACAAGGAAAAATCTTACTAGATTTGCTTACACGTATGGGTATGAAGGGTTGCAACCGGTTGCCACACCCCTACCAACATCAAAAAAATTATATCTCAATAATGGTGAACCTCTTGGAGGGGAGGATTCTACCAAGTACAGAAGTATAGTAGGCGCCTTGCAGTATTTGACTTTAACTATATGAGATATTTCTTTCTCGATGAACAAGGTTTGTCAATTCTTGCATGCTCCTACTACTGTATATTTGACATCTGTCAAACGTATTCTTCGTTACTTGGAAGGAACGCCCACTCATGGGCTTAGAATTGGGAAGTCAGATTCTATGTTGGTAAGTGCCTTTTCAGATGCAGACTGGACAGGATGCCCTGATGATAGAAGATCGACAGGTGGTTTTGCAGTGTTTCTTGAAAGTAACTTGCTGTCTTGGCACGCTCGCAAACATGCCATTGTGTCACGTTCCAGTACAGAAGCTTAATATAAAGCACTTGCTAATGCTACTGCTGAAATTATTTGGGTTCAAAATCTTTTGACAGGGTTGGGTATTAGTCATCCAACGTCAGCTTTTCTATGGTGTGTAATCTTGGTGCCACTTATTTGTCTGCAAATCCTATATTTCATGCTAGGACAAAGCATACTGAAATTGACTATCACTTTGTTCGAGAAAGGGTAGCCAACAAGTTGTTAAATATCAGGTCCATACTGACTGGTGATCAAGTGGCAGATGGATTACTAAATCTCATACAGTACGTCAGCTAGAGGTTTTTCGACGCAATCTCAGCCTAGATAAGTTGTGATTGAGGGGGAGTGTTAAACATTGTATTGTCATGGTGTTGTATAAACCGTGTAGTAGAGGAGTGCATGCGTGTGTTTGTTGTAAACGTGTTGGGCAAGTTAGGATTGATCTCAATCTAGTCTGTTAGTGTTTTGTATCCACGTTAAGATCAATCTAGACTCCAACGAACCATGTATATCTGATTGACTTCGGCCTCTAAATACATGCAGCGCGTCCCTGCCAAGAGCATACGTTTCCAGCTATTTTCACACTCCCCGTGGTAGATTGTCACGAACAGTGGGAGCGCGGTCTGGGAGCCGGGGGGGAAGTGGGAGCGTGGTCGGCAGGGTTCAAACCTGCGCGGGCAAAGCCCACATGATTCTGAGGAGGCCGAGTAGGAGCCCACCAGATTTGGCTGGGGAATATGGCTCGACGCTGGGAATATCGTCAGTATCGCGTGGCCCATGAGTGCGGCGAGCGTCCGGAAGAAGAGACGGGCTTGCTGCGGTACGCCGCTGCTGAGGACGCAGAGAAAATAAAAGGTTTAGGACTTTCAGAAATGAAGCAAATGGAACTTGTGAAAACTTTGAATTTCTAGGTCAGAGACGAGTACAGCAGAGCCGCTTGTACTGTACTGTGGCGGCAACATAATAAAAACATGTCGATTTTGAACGATAAAATTGACTTCGGTAGTCAAACTGACTATGAGCTGCTTGCTGAAATCCGTTTGGGCTAGGCTAAAATTCATGGAAGTTCACTAAATTAATCAATATGTTTCTAGTCTCCCCAAAATGCACCGTGACATTGCTTCACATTAACGTTCCACGGTGAAAAAGTAAATTCATCAGTGAAAATACATGGATCTCCTCTTTTAATTGTTCCTAGACCACATTGCTCACCCCAATTATTACTGCTCATACCAAAGTGCGCAGTCTACGCGTGGCAGGCAATCAACTCTGATCAATAAATTCACAAAATGTTATGGTAGAGGATACTAATTTCTCGGCATCCAAATCGATTCCATGATGTGGCAACGATTCTAGTTTTCGAGTAACAAAACATAGGGATTGTAATGTCATTGCTCATCTCAATCCTAGAAGATTTTGGGTTGTTTGATTGCATCATACGAAAAAAAAAGTTTTTTCAAAGATATTTAGTTGATGTTATAGAAATCCATGCGAAGTACTAAAAAAATCCTTAGAAAAAAAAATTCTTGTAGGATTCAACCATATAAATCAAGCAGCCAACATAGAGAGAATTCGTAAGGAATTTTACTCCTCCAAAATTCCTGTGAAAAATCTTGTGAATCAAAGGAGCCTTAAGTATTAAAAAAAATTCTTGAATTTTTCTTGTAGGATTCAATCCTATGAATCAAACAGCCAACATAGGAAAAACTCCTAAGGATATTTAATCCTTCAAAATTCCTGTGAAAATTCTTTGTGAATCAAAGGAGCCCTAAAAATGCAAAAACAAAATCGTGGTCGATATTTAATCCTTCAAAATTCCTGTGAAAATTCTTTGTGAATCAAAGGAGCCCTAAAAATGCAAAAACAAAATCGTGGTCGGCAGGATTCGAACCTGCGCGGGCAAAGCACACATGATTTCTAGTCATGCCCGATAACCACTCCGGCACGATCACTGCTTGTTATGAATCTCTGTTTTGCCTTTACAGTGCTGAGAACTTAGGCTAGTATGAAAACGCTGGCCATAAAAGAAGCAGCCTTTTCGGTTCGGTGCCAGACAGACACGTACAACAATTAAGTCATTTTCCAACGTATTGATAAGATATCTACAAAAACCCAACATATCGATCGAATGTACACTTCAATTTCAACGCGAAACTACATCACTGTTGTGTTAAAACACACATCGTTCACGAACCACGAATCAGAACTATACTCCTCTCCAGTAATGCCATCATAAAATCAGCTCCTAATTTGATTTGGCCGCCTATGTTGTTGTTGAGACGAAACATTCCTCTCTCTGGCCGACTTCTTCGCCGACGAGTGACCGACCATGTAGGACCCGAACCCCCACACGGTGATCACCAGCGACAGGATCTTGAAGCCGCTCATGGGGTCGTGGAACCACACCACCGCCGCCACGCTCGTCAGCGGCACCCTCACCGCGTTCAGCACGCCGGCCAGCACCGTCGAGCCCAGGTACACCACCCCCGTCGCCCCCAGCACCCCCAACTGGAACGTCGCCGCCGACCACCCCACCACCATCGCGTACCCCGCCGTCCCTCCCCCTGCGGTTGTGAACCCCGCGGCCTCCCGCCGCATCGCCGCGAACCCGTCGGTGGCCGCCAGCCCCGCCGACGTGAACGCGAACGCGCTCAGCGACACCGCCGCCTGCTGCTCCAGCACCACGTGGAAGCGGGTCGCGGCGGCACCGTCTCCGCCGTTGCTGAGGTACTTGTCGAAGACGAGCTCCGAGAGCGCGAAGATGAGGCCGTGGAGCGCCGACCCGGCCACGTCCAGCGCGAACCCGAGCGCGTACTGCCGGCCCGTGACCCCCGGGTACCGGTCGGACCCCGAGTCCAGCGCGATGATCACCACGCCGGCGGTGATCACCACGATGGCGTTCAGCGTGGACAGGCCTATCCTGTTCTTCTGCCCCACGATGAGGCGGCCGAACACGGCGGAGAAGGCGAGCGACGACGCGGCGACGAGGGACGCCGTGGACGCCGGCAGGTACGCGTAGGCCCAGGCGTACATGAGGTTGTCGGCGGCGCTGAGCAGGCCAAGCAGGGCGTACCAAAAGCAGAGCCACGGTGACGGCGGCCACGTCGGCGACGCGTCGCTGAAGAGGTAGCAGGGGAGCAGGAGCAGCGCCGGGATGGGCCAGCCGGCCACGGCGGACCACGAGAGGATCCACTTGCTCTGGCCGCCGCCGTTGTAGTAGAGCCGCGAGAGCAGGCTCGCCGCCGGGAACGCCGTGAGCATCGCGCCGCCGCTGAGCGCGAGGAGCGCCCAGAAGGAGGCGGGCTTGCTGCGGTATGCCGCCGCGGAGGAGGCCATGATCGAAGACGCTTTCTGGCGCAGCGAGAGGCTTGGTCCTCCGTTGCTGGTGATCTCCGAGTCCGAGCCCTCCATTGCTGCAACTTTTGGCGAACATCACAGTTCAGTTAAGAGAAACAGCATGTTCAGAACTTCAGATTTGGCACCAGAAACTAAAAACTACTCTACTAACTCTGAACATGTAAGATTCATTCACTAGAGCAGAGTACAGCAGAGCTCATGTACAGTACTGTACCGAGGCAGCAACATAGTTTCATAAGCAAAATAACTGAACTAGGCCAAAATCCATGAAAGTTAATTAGGTAAATCAAGATCCCCAAAATCCACCATAGCATTAGTTTAGATTGCCGTTCAACAGTCATTGCTAGTATATATATATTTTTGTTTAATCAGTAACAGAAAGGAAACAGTTTATTTGGTTCTTGGCTCCCCGCACTCTACTCCACTGTAAAGGCATCGCAACTGATTGGCAATCAACCCTGAATAACAAGTAGAGCAGATTTTTCACAAATCTGGAACTAAAAGAACCTAATTGATTGCCCAGAGTCCGTGGCCACGGCCAGGAACGCTCGATAGATTCCACAAGAGACGAGCAGGATTGGATAATTCAGCCCTAGGGATGGGATGGAGCACAGAGCCAACCAACCTAATTCTGGTACAGAAGGGAGAAATTGGATGGAAGGGGTGTGGGGAGAACCGAATCGGACCTGTGAGCGGGAGCCGGATGGCGTGGTGGCGGAGGCCATCGCCGCCGTCCTTCTCCATCCTCTGCCGGCCGCCGGCCGGGCCCTGTGATGTGGAGCTTGGGGGTAGAACTAGCCTCGAAGCAACGACTCCTCCCAGCTCATCTAATTTCTGTGGGCGAGTCTTGAAGATTGATTGATCTGTACTAGGACGATGGTAGGTGGAGTCGCAGTCGCATCGGAGCGTGATGAACGTGGTTTCTTTGGTCTCTTCCTACTCTATTTCAGGAGGATAATGCGCGAGCGTTTTCAACGTGTTTGGGCCTACGCAACAAACCAGGATTCTCTCCTAAAAAGACAAAACAGGATACTTGCGTGTGCTCTTGAAGAAAAAGTGCGTTGTGCTTACATACTTACATTGATAGTCCTTTTGTAAGGAATTTTAGGGTATTAGGGCATCTCCCCCTCAAAACGTCCTCGTACATCCGGATTGAACTGTTCGGACGTTGGTGTGGCATCTAACGCGGGTTTGTATTAGTCCGAAGGATGGTCCAAGCCCGTTTTGTCCCGCAAACCGGAGGGCATTGCGGGCATCCAGACATCACCCACGCCCGCTTCTGACCACATTTATCCACCCAAAAGCGCCTCCTTCCTCGCCCGCGCTTGTTGCCGCCCGGCGCCAGTTGCCCGAATTCATGCTGCTGTCGAGTGCGTCGCTCCACATTGAAGACGGCTCAGGGCGGATGCGACCTCTCACTGCCTCTGTCATTGAAGCGACACACGGGCCGAGGGTGTCGCCCACTACACGCCCGGCTGAACACGTCTCCTCGCTGCATTCAAACACCTCCATTGAACCCGTGTGGAAGCCGAGAAACCTAATTCGGCCACACGTCTGTTCACGAACGGGCGACATTAAACACAATGCCGGCCAAGTTCCTCCCGTTATTTAAATAAGGCCAAACGCCAGGCAAGAATCACACCACTCCGCCGCTCCTCATCTCCTCCTTCCACCTTTTTTTTCACCTTTTCGATTGAATCCGACGAGTAGGAAGAGCAGTTCTCCGGCATAAAAGTCGGCTAGGTGGCCCGCCGAGCCCGCCAGATACGAGCGAGGCAGCTCAATGCTCCACCTACAAGCCCGACGGTTCTTTATCTTAGACCATCGTCGGCCCCCGCCTGGGCTCCACGGATGCGGAGGAGCCCGCTCTTCCCTTCCGACTGAAAGCATCCTCTTTGCCACTCCGATGAGCGGTGCAGCCGGACATAGGGAAATATACGGGGAGAGAATACATCTCCAGAGCTCCCGAAAGTCCGATGAGCGGGTTGCTGGACATGGGAAAGACAAAGGGACCCGCCGCGGCCTGCCGTAGACTAATGTAGTGTATTCGTGTCGCGCGAGTGAAGCTCCGCGCGACCGTACGTGCACATAGTTTTACCTTTTTAGTAAAAATATATCCAAAATGTAAATGTTTTTGTCCTATTTGTATGAAATCCGTTGTGTTTGCATGAATTTCATCCATTTTGTTGAAAACGTGTCTAAATGTATGTGAGCGGCGTTAGATGGCGGCCTCCCGCATCCGTGTCTGCGGACTGGTCCCTTCACATGTCCGTGGATGGATGCGGGAGGAAATTTGCGGGTCGCCGTTAGAGATGCCCTTATAGGGCATCTCAATTGCAGTGGCGGGCCTAGAATGGCAGGCTTGGGATGTCAATATTCAAAGTTTACACTAAACATCATCATAATCTCAACAAACAGTCTGAAAATAGCAACAACTTGATGGGTATTCAGAGTTAAATATGTAGTAAAATTTATTTTACAAATTTGGAGGGGCTGCCACGGCATCCTCGGCACCCCACTAGATCCGCCCATTTCTAGTCGACCCCTTCAAAATCTTTAGAGTGGCAAAATAAGTGGCTAAGCGCACCTAACCAAACTCAAAGTGTTTAGACAAGTAAAAATTTGAAGGTATTTTTTTTCTGAAAAGGCAGCCCAAGTGTCTTATTTTTACCCCTCCGACATCACTTGTGAGAACAAAATTTCTTCTCCTCCTATCCACACGTGACACCTCCTTCTCCCGTCCTTCGCCGCCACCCCGGTCCGGTGACCCTAGCCGACGCCGGAATCACGCTGACAGCGAACAATTTGATGAAATCATGTTCAGTACGATGCTGGTTGTGCTTGTGTGCACGTTGTTAGATCACATGTGTACTGATGTGTATATTGTACGTTAGTACCGGGTTTATAGGATCAGGACCACGTCGGGCCTGCGTGCCCAAGTGTAGGACGTGCGGTTCCTTCTCCTCACCTTTCCATATATATTTGTAATCTGTACAACAGTGATCAATCAAGGAAATCACTTTCCAACTTGGTATCAGATATTAGGACTTTCGTGGCCGAGCACACCTCTCCCTCCACCTCCTCCGCTGCTCTGGGCTCTGGCATGTCGCCGGCCTCCCTCTCCTCCACGGTGCCCGCCGCCAACTCCGGCTCGGCCTCCTCAGCGGCTACCTCATCGCCGTTCATCTTCGGGACCACCCCCTCCCTCCTCCATGGTACTTCCCCTTCTTCTGGATCTCACTTCGCCCCCCTCTTCTCCTCCGCCCCCTCCGTGACGGCGCCGCCGGCACCTCGCAACCCCATCTATCAGGATCACATCACCAACCACATAAAATTCCTCCTCAATCCCGCCGACCACAACTACCACAAGTGGAAATCTTTCTTCCTCATGGTTCTGATCCGCTATGATGTTCGGTTCCTCATCGAGACTCCCCTTCCTCCCAATGCCAATCCCTCCCTTCTCGAGCTCGACGCCCATGTCGTTCTCTAGATCTACGCCACCCTCTCGGATACCATGGTCGATCACGTGGTCGGCGCTGATTCCACCTTCGCCCTTTGGAAGAAGATCAAAGATTTCTTCCTCGCCAACCGGGCTGCCCGGTTTATGATCCTCAACCGGCAGTATTGTAACCTCAAACAAGGGGATCTCTCTGCTTCTAAATATGCCTATCGCATGAAACTACTCACCGACGCCCTCGCTGACATCGAACACGCCGTCACCGAGACTGACCTCACCACCCAATTCCTTCATGGTCTTGACAAGCACCTCGACACCATTCGCGTCGTTCTTGGTGACCAAGGGCTCCCCTTCGACACGGTTCTTTCCCGGGTCATCCTGGCAAAGGAATCACAGGCGCAACACGCCACCGAGGAGAGTACCTCGGCGTTTGCCTTCCCCGGTGGTGACCGTGGCCAAGGCAGCTGCTCTGGGACGGGCGCTCGTGGCTCCAGTGACCGCGGCCAAAGCAGTGGATCCTCCTCCGATCGCGCCCAGGGCCCTCCTCATCAGCACCAGCAACCCTCTAGATGTGTTCGTGAAAGCACAAGTGCTCCCTGGGTGGTTTTGGTAATTAATGTCAACATATCTCTTGTTGGACTAACACTTTTACCTAGTATGTTTCAGACAAGTTCAACAATGGAGTGGCATGGACTAAGGGATGTGGAACCCCTTCAAGATGCTAAGGACAAAGGATTGGCTCAAGCTTCAAGCTCAAGACTCCACATTTTATATTTTAGTGATCCAAGATCACATTGAGTCTATAGGAAAAGCCAATACTATCAAGGAGGGATGAGGTGTTGTTTAATGAGTTTCTTGCTCCATAGTGCTTAATGATATGCTCCAAAGCCCTCAACTACTTCCTCACATCCATATTTGACCTAAACCTAAAGTCAAACTCGGCACCACCGATTCTTTCTATCCGGCCCACCGAGTTCAGATGTCATAGCCACTGCCCCAAACCCTAGGCAAATCGGTCTCACCGATAGGGATCTCGGTCTTACCGAGATGGGATTGTAATCTCTTTGTGTATGTCCATTGCGAAAACCGGTCTCACCGAGTTTGAGCAATCGGTACTACCGAGATTACAATGCAAACTCTCTGGTTAACTTATTACCAAAATCGGTCGCACCGAGTTTGAGTAATCGATCCCACCAAGTCTGACTGACCAACTCTCTGGATAGCTTATTACCAAAATCGGTCTCACCGAGTTTGTGTAATCGGTCTCACCGAGATTACGTTATGCCCTAACCCTAACCATATCGGTCCTACTGAGTTGCATGTCGGTCCCACCGAAAATCCTAACGGTCACTAGGTTTACTAAATCGGTCTGACCGAGTTTGTTGATTCGGTCCCACTGAGATTGGTAAATTGTGTGTAACGGTTAGATTTTGTGTGGAGGCTATATATACCCCTCCACCTCCTCTTCATTCGTGGAGAGAGCCATCGGAACAAGCCTACACTTCCAAATTGCTGTTTCTGAGAGAGAACCACCTACTCATGTGTTGAGGTCAAGATATTCCATTCCTACCATATGAATCTTGATCTCTATCCTTCCCCAAGTTGCTTTCCACTCAAATCTTCTTTCCACCAAATCCAAATCCCGTGAGAGAGAGTTGAGTGTTGGGGAGACTATCATTTGAAGCACAAGAGCAAGGAGTTCATCATCAACAAACCATTTGTTACTTCTTGGGTGGTGTCTCCTAGATTGGCTAGGTGTCACTTGGGAGCCTCCGACAAGATTGTGGAGTTAAACCAAGGAGTTTGTAAGGGCAAGGAGATCGCCTACTTTGTGAAGATCTACCGCTAGTGAGGCAAGTCCTTCGTGGGCGACGACCATGGTGGGATAGACAAGGTTGCTTCTTCGTGGACCCTTCTTGGGTGGAGCCCTCCGTGGACTCGCAACCGTTACCCTTCGTGGGTTGAAGTCTCCATCAACGTGGATGTACGATAGCACCACCTATCGGAACCACGGCTCAAAAATCACCGTGTCTCCAAATTGCGTTTGAAATCTCCAAACCCTTCCCTTTACATTCTTGCAAGTTGCATGCTTTACTTTTCGCTGCTCATATACTCTTTGCATGCTTGCTTGAATTGTGTGAAGATTGCTTGACTTGTGCTAAGACAGCTAAAATCCGCCAAAGACTAAAATTGGGAAAAGGCATAGTTTTTAATTGGTCAAGTAGTCTAATCACCCCCCTCTAGACATACTTCTTAGATCCTACAAGTGGTATCAGAGCTTGGTCTC